CCTTTAAGCTTTTCTCTTAATAAATTGTAGGTTTACATTTGGGATGCTGTAAAACAAGCTAACAAACTCAACTTAATGTATGATTTTCATATATTCATAACTTCATCATTAAACTGAACCTTTGTAATGTAATCTTTTAATCGAGGGAAAAAATACAACCTATGTGTTGTTGCTTGATCTGAACGCAGCTTTTTACCGTCATTTCGAGGTTTGTAACGATAGAGATAACCCCTATTAAATAAGGCATTCGGGTCGAGACAATTTATGTAATAGTTAGAATTGCAACTTCGCCCTTTTCCCTGTTTTCGAGTAAACCCAGGATGAGGACGAACCAGTATTTGGGCCGCGGGGACTGGGCCAAGATTGTTCTACATGCATGTATGTTACATGTACAGTATGCATTTAACTAAAAGTAATTTACACTCAAGGAATAATCTATTTAAGGTTATAGCTTATAATTATGTTAATCAAATCTGTCTAACTTCCTTTTTTGCTTGGGAAACATTATTTTGCACAGAGAAAGCTGCCAGACGCGAAGCTGAATCACAGTGGATTACTACAAAGCTGTGGAACAAGGACTTGGCGGCAACCATGCGCTTGATCAGATCAAATGAAACTCAGAAGAAGGCTCGCAATCTCACAAATTGTAAGTACTTTGATGCACTCTCCTGCATAAGTTACGATCACTTTTCAACTCCTAATTCTTAAAAAAAAAAATTAAAACTCTCCCAGCATATTTCGTCTTGGAAAATATGCATCAATTGATCATTTTGTGACGGACGAAACTGATTTGAAAGTGACTGATCAATCTTTGTTTTGTTTGTTTGTTGCTTAATTACTATACGAAACTATTTTCGTTCATAGTTTAAAGTAAGATACTTCCGAAAGTTGTTATATAACGGTGGAAATATTTCTGAGATAACAATGCTTATACGAAAATACGCACTTTAGATAAACCGGTCCGTGATTCTCGCAAACTGTTTCTTGACTTTTCTCGGTAAAATTAACTTTTACAAGTCACAGACTTATTTTACGAAAAAAAGGAAGTGAGTGGACCGCACAGTTTGTGAAGTAATTTTTTAAACCTGTTGTTCGTTTGTACTGTGTTTGTGTTTTATTGGTTGTGCATATTTATTACAAATTTCTTATTGTCGCTCAGATCTCTTTCTAGTCTATTTGACAAGAATTACAACCACAATGATTAATTGGACCTGGCAGGACACGTTTGATCTGACGACCACTATCCTGCTGACCGATTATTGATGCACGGCTTTGTACCTCGCCATTCCTCAGGCTCACATAATAAATATCATCACCTGATTAATTCGAATGTTCATTCGAAAATGGAGGTAAGAGAACACATTATGAGTTTTTAATGTTTGCCGCAAAGTTACCAAATTTCTACGTTCCCTTAAAGTAAAGGTCGCACTACGCTATCGGTCAAATACCTGGAGACCGTTTATAAAGCTAAAGGATACGAGCCATGGTTGTTTGGGAGTTTCTGGACATGAATTTGTTTGTAAATGTGAACTTTTGTTTTTAAAATGGCAATGAAAAATTCAGTGCCAAATAGCAAATAATTTAGATTTCTTACTTAAGTCCATATAGACTATGATAATGGCGCAACACTGCCTTTTTATGGCCGATATAAGGCTAGTTTTTTATGCAAGAAGAGTTTGCTAGGACAATGAGTGAAGACCGCCATTGTTTCCGGCCACTGGTCCGTCTGTTAGTTTTTTTTAAACATTTATGTCTGTACTCTCTCCTTGCAGTTGCATATGTGATATGTAATCGCCAAACTAAAAACTAAACAAGACTAAATAGACTATGGGTAGTCCCCCATTCTTTCTCAGAGATAGTAGAGCGAGCGGAACACGAGCGCGCGTGAAAATCACCCCACGTGGGAAAGGCGAGACGCCTTTTCTCGCGTGGGGTGATTTTCACGCGCGCTCACGTTTCGCTCACTTTACCATCCCTGAAGACAAATGGGGGACTACTCGTAGTCTACGACTGAAACTACTAACCAACCAAAACTTCCGCGACATCAAGAAACACCCATTCAATTCTAGTCCTGATCGACACTCTTTTTAGCGAAATTGACTATACATGGGTACCAAGAGAGTAGAACGGGGCTATATTCTCTAGCTCTTGCTAGACCAAGAGAGTTAAAAAATAGAACAGAAAATGCGGTAACAATAAACAAGATGAAACAACGAATGTTGCAAAAAACTAAGATTTTAAAGGCTTTGCGTTTCGTAATCTCGACTCTCCAAAGGAGAAGCGAAAATTTTGATGTCAAATCACATTCTCCTTATCATATTGGATAAAATGCTGTACTGAACTGCACAGGAAGGGTAACACGATACACATTTTGATCTTTAAGGGTATCGACGGAGGTTATATTGATAGAACTGTGCTAAAATTATTCAAAGGGACACATAGTTGGTTCGACACTGTAGAATGCTCAAAATAGCAGGGATTCAAACTATCCAAAGTAAAATCTCAGTGATACACTTGGGGAGTCCACGGTGACGCAAATTCAAAGTATCCAGGGTCGAGTTAACAGTACCCTATACACTTTATTTTCTATTAACTGAACGCTTAACGCACTTCTCTTGTGTTCTACTCTACTCTACTCTACTCTGCTATGCCCAGCTTAGCTCCCTGTTTCGAATATTCTCAGCCTTACTCTTGTGTAATCTTCTCTAACATTGGGGAGCAAGGGGCCAGAACAGTGCTGAGAGCACTAGCCCTAGCTGCATGTTCAATGTTGGTTTCCCCCTCCTAATATAATTATGAGAAGTTTATATTTGTTAACTGGAAAGACGAAAGTGTCGGTTTCTCACAATAACGTCCATTGACCACCACAAAAAATGCCATAACATACCCATAATGCTCTTTGTTTGTCACCCCAAAGTTTTGCAGAAGCATTGTTTTCAGTTTCTTTTGGGGCCATTTGAACTCCCAAGGGATTGAATCTAAGAGAGGAAATGGCTTTCCTCGGGAACAAAGAAAACTGTCCGTAATTAACGTTGGGTGTCCGTACAGTGGGGCTCAAGTGACATAAAATTTATTTTCCCTAGGGCTACACTAGAATAACACTAAATCTAAATCTTTGTCGGGAAATGGGTTTGTTCACTCGTGCAAATGACGTACCAGTTGTCAAAGTATTTGCCCTTCACAGTTCCACCAGCTTGGTTCGTTACACCAAGAAGCTCTTCAGAACAAATAGCTGGCTCACATTGTGTTTCATGCTTTCTGAAAAAGGCATAGCATGTAGTCGATACCACTATTTATCAGACACAGGTCCGAATGTTTTTTAAAGCTCACTCCTTATAGGCATTTGAACAACCACTACTTTTCAGAAACAGGTCTGAATCGAAACACTTGGGACCATATTCATATATGATAAACACGGATTTAGACGGTTTTAATACGCTGTCAAAAGTTATGAAACGTATTTTCTCATTAGCGTTACGTTGGATTGATGTGAGATGCAGTACAAGAAGAAGTACAAGTAGACGCTGCAGTAATATGCTTAAAATCGTTTAGTTGGTTCCGTCAGTAAAAACTCTTTGCAATCTGCAGCGCCCTTCGTTTTTGTCGACACATGCGCTCTCCACATCAAGCTAAACCAAGCGACATTCATTTGAAAAAACTCAAGTTAAAATGTGCCAATTTTGTCTCTTAACAATTAATTACAAGTCTTTTAATTAACTGCAGACTCGCAGTGTTTTAGTCACTGAAGACTACCGGTAGCTTTTATCCTCAACGTGATATTTCCACCTTCAACCTTAATCCATTGTTTGAACGAGTAAACTTCCGCATTAATTGTCTTCGGGATTTCCTTTATAAACAAAGGCTACGTATTTTGCATAGGCGGGAGATGGGCTAGACTGTTTCAAAACAGCTTCTTAGTTTGCAAAGATCAAAGTATTGCTTTTAATAACTTTGTTCAGAAATTGTACAAGGCAAATTTTTTGTATCTTGATGAAATGAGAAAGCAAACATGTTCGGCAAAAACACTTCCGCTTTTACCTACTAACAATATGTCGAGTCTTGCCAAAACACAACGCACAACGACCATCAAAAGAAAGAAAAGATTGAACCTTGGACAAAAATAAGAATCGAAGAGAAAGCACTAAATCCTCTGGTTAAGTTCGTCTTCAAAACAGCGCTGAAATCCTTGTTCAGGGCCCCACCTGTGTACCATGATTTGAGTACGCGCTATGATTGGCCAGTAACCTACTGAAAAAAGCCATTGCTAATTTGTCAATCAGGTGGAAGAGAACTGAATCGAAACGCATTTCCGGTGATTCGTTCAGTCCGCTGAGGGCTCAGAACAAGGACCTCGGCTTTGCTTCACAGACGTTACTAACCGGATTAAGATTACGTCTGCGACGCAGGCTATATTATCTACTCCTATCTTTGATTTATATTGCGGTCTACTTAGGCTGTATGACCTTCATAAGTTCAGGCATAAGAAAGCAATACTGAATATTAAAATGTAAGAATATATTATGTAAGTAACGTATTACATATGTAAAAATAGAGCTATTATTTTTCATTGTTGTTAGTCTAATGATCATAGAGATACTTAATTCATATCCGAAAATCCAGCCGTACTAAATCTTCAGGAACTGTTCAGTGCTATTTTTACCAAATGTCCAGTAAGGACTATGCTCAGCCAGTGACCGGTGGTACCTGGCGCCTTAATCTTGCTCTTGAGCATAAAAATTCTTTTTTTCCTAAACATCATATTCAAGCACCCTGAATTTCACAATCTTCAGAGGCTCAAAGCACCGGGCCCTCTTCAATTTTCATATCACAGCCATCACAGGCATTCAGATAATGTGAAAGGCGCAAAGAAAAGTGCGCGCCACTCTCCACGATCTGAACGACTCTTGGAACAGGCTGAGGGAACAGCTTTACCAGTAAGTTATAAAACTTTCCAACAAACAGCAGATTATCAATGATTTGGTGTACCGTTGGTTCTACAATTAAGATGACACATCGGCATCTTTCAGTTCATCGATTATCTCCTGCATGGTTGGTCTCGGCCCAGGATCTCTATGCAGGCATCGCCGTACCAGGCCGCGAAACACACCGCTCGTTACAAGCACGACTTGTTCTTCACGCTTACTAGGATCTGGAAGTTCCCGGATGCACATTTCACAAAGAAGAACACCAAAGCTGTACACATCAACCTAAAAGCAATCATAATACAGGACATTACTTATTAGTTGTGTACTGATTACAAAAGGAGTTAAGGTAACACGAGAGGGAGGAACTCGAGAATTCAAAATAGATGAATAGCGATAAATGGATAAGAAAACTGCCTAGAAAACAGAAGATCCTTAAAAGGCATCATGGTACGTTCTTGGCTTAAATGTTTTGTTTCTAAAAATACTAATTAACTTTTGCTATCCCGTGACTGTTGTCTTTAGACACAAGAAGGGATAAATTAAAGAATCCAATTACGTGGACCAAATCCATGAAGAAGATATGTATAAAAGAGTGAAAAAAGTGCAGAACAAGGTACAAAGACTCCTCACAAAGATATAGTCATTTCATATGTATTGTTTATGGAGTGGACATCACTTATCACTTCTGCCACTGTTAGCCTTGCTGTACAGTTTTAGTAAGTAAAAAGTCTTGAATATTCACTTAAACTTACCTTGACTGTTTGGTTTGATGTAAGTGCTTCAGGTGCGCTGTAAATCATAGCTCCAGGAGCCACTGTCATGGTCTGCTGTATAAAATTAGCAGTGCCATAATCTGACACTTTGGCTCTCCATTGGTCACCCTGTCGCCATAGCAACACATTCGCACTGCTGACGTCACGGTGAATGATAGGCTCTGGTTTCTTTCGATGAAGGTAGTTCAGGGCACGTGCTACATCCAGAGAAATGACGGCTATTTCTGTCTCGGAGAGTTGCCGCTGCTTCAACAAAGTGCGCAGACTTTTCTCCATCAGCTCGGTCACAAACAGAGGAGTTCCCTCATCTTTCGTGGCGCCGATAAACTGTAGTAAGTGAGGATGGCGGCATTTAGAAGCGATATTCATTTCTCTTTCAAACAGATCTATGTTATGAGGAGAAAGAATCAACTCATGGATCTGTTTCACTGCTACAGTACAGCCACAATACGTTCCCTCATTGACAATTCCCCATCCTCCCCTCCCAAGGTATTTCTCTGTGATTTGAATTTCGTCCCGGGGAATAACCCAGTCACGTGTTTCCTGGTTCCGCAATTGATTTATTGTTTCCTGTGCTGTTGAAAGACTTAACTGTAGTTCAGAAACTTGTCCTCGGCAATTGGTCAACTGCTGTCCTATCTCCCTCAGTTGCCGCTGCAACTCCACCAGCTGCCTCTGGGAATTTTCTTCACGTTGTTGAAACTCCGTCAGCTGCCTCTGAGAATTTTCTTCACGTTGTTGAAACTCCCTCAGCTGCCTTTGAGAATTTTTTTCTCTTTCCTGAAGCTCTCTCAACAACCGCTGCATATTTTGTTCACGTTGTTGAAACTCCATCAGTTGCCTTTGAGAATTTTTTTCTCGTTCCTGAAGCTCTCTCAACAGCCGCTGCATATTTTGTTCGTGTTGCTCAATATCCGTTAGCTGGCTTTGAGAGTCCTGATACCGTTCTTTAACCACTCTGAGTTTCCTTTGTAAATCCTGCTCGCGTTGCTGCATCTCCCGTTTCTGTCTCTGGAAGTTTTCCTCACGTCGCTGAAAATCCCTCCACTGACTCTCTATTTCTGAGGTTCGCCTTAGCGAATTTGTTTTGCGTAGATTTTGTTTTTTTTCTAAAAAGATAATTCATGATCAAAAATAAAACAAGGCAATCATAATCATGAAAATCACCCAAGTAACATGGGCAAACCGATTAAGTGTCACCTAAAAAAGAAAAATTAAAAATTTTGACTTCAAAGAAAATTTTAAATGTACTGCGTTCCTCTCTTTAAACTGAGCGACACATTAGCTTAAGAGATACTGATGAAGAATTGAAGATGAAAATCAGAATTGCGTTTCGCTCCGATTGTCACTAAATAATTATGGCTTGCTTGTAGACTTACACAAAATGTTGAAGTGTGTGTCCAAGAAAAGCCCCTTCTTTGAACGAGCTCTCTTTTTTTCGTTCAGATGAACCTTAAATCAGTAGATTTGATATCAAAACGTTTCGACACGATCCAGTCCGAAATTGAAATCACGCCTGCATTTTTACTCTAACTGCTTATCCCACAGGACGTTGCATCTTTTACTGCACAGCGGAAACAGTTTTTACCAACTGCCAATCTTGAGAGACCTTCAGGAACGAGAAAAAAATTCTCAAAGGCAACTGATGGAGTTTCAACATCGTGAACAAAATATGCAGCGGTTGTTGAGAAAGCTTCAGGAAAGAGAAAAAAATTCCTAATTCCTAATTCTGTTAGTGACATGTCCCCTCCCCTCTACTTTATCGGTCTTCCTCTCTCCTTTTCTCATCTATCTTTCCCAGGCCCTAATTTCTTTACATTGGCCAAAATACTTCAGCTTTTATTTCTTTTAAAAAGGGTAACTTACGAGTTTAAAAAAACAATACACTAAATCTGGAGTGGAAAGACATCTGTGATGAGTTTTTAGAAAACTTGAATTTTTCCATATAAATTTTCTGTAATTTTGATACCGTGGAATTACAGAAAATGTATGGGAAAATCAAGCATCAAATATATGAATTCAGGAAGAATTAGTGGGCTTTGAATTCTAATACAAATCTTTGAATTTCCCTCCATCTTGCCCTGATTACCTATGATGCAACTATGAGCGTGAACTCCTCTATACGAGCCCACATCGCTGAGGTCCGTCTTTTGTAACGTCATACTAGATTAAACTTTTGTAAGTGCATTTTCTGTTCTGCACGATGAGGACTAAGGATGTGCTGCGAGATTTGCCATTGCTATTAAATTTGCATTTGCATGTCAGCATTTGTGATTTGCTCTTTTAATAGTAATAAGCTTATGTGTTACATTAAGAGAACTATTTCAGTGAAAACTCTCCTAATATGTGTAATAAACAGCTCAAGTCTTAGAAAGCGCTTTGTACAAGGTCATATTCACGAGTTGTTTGTGTAAAAAGCCCTCACTCGCTCGTATCTCGCTCGTTCGGGTTTTGACACAAACAAGCTCGTGAATATAACCCCGTACAAAGCACTTTCTATGACGTAAACTACATTTTTGATAAGAAAACTACTGAGGACGATTCAGGATCTGAGGGGAAATTTTGGCGGCGGAACCGCCAGCGCGCGAGAAAAATGAGGCGATGAAGCAATTTTCATCAATCGATTTGTGAATTACAGACTAATGCAGTTGACTCAAAGCTTTCATTTAGTCTTAAATATGATCTGATTTTTTTTTTTACTCTAAATCACTAGAATAGGGGCTGGCCGGATATCATGCTCTTCTTTGTTGCTTTAAAAAAGAAGATCAATGTTGTTCTAGTAGTCTACCCCTCTTGACACTGTTAACAGCGAACAATGTTTTGACGCGAAGATTCCCGGTCGACAAAATTTATAAGCGTTAATATGCTGTCTTGTTAGATAACAATTATTCACCGAAGTGGAGGTGGCTAGTAGTTAGTATTTACCGAGGCCGCGAAGCGGCGAGGTAAATTTCCACTACTAGCCACCGACACTGAGGTGAATAATTGTTTTAGTATATACTAAAACAGTGAGATAATTGAGGACAAAAATGATGATTTTTAACTCATTTACTGTTGCCAACGATTACAATTTGGGCGCACGATGAGCGAACGGTCTTAGCGACAAATAAAACTTTTGAAGGCGTTTGTATAGCTCTTGCGGGGAAGTTTCTTCAAAAGGAGTTGTGAATTCTTTTTGTATTTAAAATCATTCTGTAAAAAAGAGTATTAAATTTAGTTGTAAGCTTATTTATGAACAAGTCAACTAAATTAAGTAGCGCAAGACTTAAGCTTAATTTGCATTTGTAAACAAAAAACTTTTTCACCGGTTTTATCGATAAATTTAAGTGAAAAAGACAAAGATTTACCTGTTAAAACTTCCAAACCGAACTTCGTCACCTTTTTCATGTATTTTGGGAATAGCTTGCATGATTAGTTGTGAAATTTCTTAGTTTGTTACGGCAGCAAACCGGGAAGGCATTTTGCTCGCAAGTTACGCAACTTTGGCGTACGTCGCTCGCTCGGAGGAACTGGAGGTGAATCAGTGAATAGTGAAGGATATTCACTGATTGAGTAGCAAATCAGAGTGCGCGAAAAACACTATCCACTGTTTTAGTATATACTAAATATGGATATTTCACTCATCAATTATAAATATTTAAGCCCAGCTATCCACACAAACGTACGGGTTTAACCGTACGCTCCTCAATTCAAAAACACCAAACTAACTACGTATACTCTAGCCATTAGCTTGAGCTACCTGTTTTTATAAACCTTCGTAAATACGGTAAGTTTAACCCGTATTCGTCTTTTTATTTAAAGACTAAAACCAAAAAAAAAAAGATCTGCCTATTTCCATACATTTGTACAGAGGTTCAACCATGTACCTCTTTATTCCAAAACCAAAACTTAAACAAAATTTTGGAATTACTTTGAACACTCTCACCTTTGATTGGGACGGGCATTTTTTCAATAAAAAGCTGAAGCTCATTTGGATCAGCATCTTTTAGTTGAACAGTTTGTCCTTCGTGACCCCACCAGTCTTTTAGCTCTTTAATTGTAACTGTATCCTTGGTGACCTTCATTGTAGTTTCAGGCATAATTACAAACTGAAAAAAGTAAGGAGAGGTAGTATTGGATTTCTTCCTTGAAATACGTACCGTAGTCGATTAATAGAGATAAATCAATACATTTAGAGGTCAATTAACTGCATATTACACCGATATCCGGCAGTATAATCGTCATCCGCGATCAAAGTTCACCTAAAGTGTTGCGCAAAGTACAGCACAGCTTCCTTAGTTTCCTTAACAACATGGCTTAATCACAGTACAGAGTAACCGTTGAGTGCTAATCGTTAACAAACATTGCGCAATTTTTACAAACCTCTATAAAAAGCGGACACTTGGGGAGGTCCCGAAGGTGTCCGCTTAATACCGGGGGGGGGGGGGGCGAATACTTGGCTAAATTTTTGCTAGGTATGTGCCGCTGGCCTCTCAGAGCCCCTACCCCATTATAGTCTATTCTGTGACCAATTATAGAAAATGTGCCACCCCATTCGAGTAACTCTATTGAATTTTCGACCCCTCTATAGTCAGTCCAGTTGTGAAAATGCGACCCCATCCAGCGGCACATTCCTATTAGCCTCTTATAAGGAAGTAACCCTTCCCTCCCGGGGCTTACCTCCTCACGGAACTTTATGATAAAGTAACACAATCTTCCAAATTATAAATAGCAATCACATGATTTATACGATAACATAACGCTGTTTTTATATCTCATAGCAACCTTATTTCCGCCTTTTTGCCAGTTGTTGTAATCTAACGGTCAATCGTTGATATTACCCGATGAGTGTGGTCATCTTTTGGCCACACGAAACAGAGCTGTAATAATAAAACGATGCACTACCTCTGAAGTCTTGAACCAGTTTATTATAATTGTATTGTTAAATTATATATTTAAAACCCTTTCACTCCTAGAGTCATGGATCTATAAAATTTAGTTCTAACTCTTGAGCCCCTGGACGAAACCCTTCTATCAGTACTCTCACATGGTACTATTTGTTTTCAGTATTGGACGAAATGAAATTTCGACTTCTCTGTTGATAACGTTTTGATTTTGCTGATTTTGTCAGTGCAATCTCGGAAGTGAAAGAGGAAAAACATCAATAACTCACATACCATCTCGTCATGCCCCGCTATCCTACTGGCATATAAAATGCGGCAATCGTTGAACATCGCACGAAACCAAAGTTGTAGCTCTCCTTCTCCATCCTTCTTACCGCGCAATGAGACGGTACCAAGTACAACACAAAGCTGTGTATAGCCCAACTGACTGACCCAACTGAGCCAATCCATTTTGTTTATTGGAAGTGCACCTCGTCCCCAGGCTCTCATCCTACTGAAAATCGCAGCCGCCGCAAGGAAGGTATGGACTGGATTTGTGCGCTGAGGCGTTTTTCATTTTATTTCGTTAATTTGTTTTTATTTACCATTTTGTGAAAACTCAGACTAGATCAACAAAATGCACATTCAAAGTGAACTTTAAAAAACATTGGTCAAAGAAACGAGAAATGGGTTCATAGAAATCATACTCCAAAGAAATTCTGTAACTGAAAACCGATCAGATACCAAAAAGCTGCTGTAGCCCACAGGTTTGAAGAATAATCTTGGACAGGGAATTTACCCAGGCCACAGTTCCTCTTTTCATTTTTAAAACGCGTGATGTCACGTCTGGGGTCAGTGATCCTCTTAAACCTGTCAGACCAGGTTTACTTTTTGCAGGTATCCTCTTTTGTAGTTTGCTCGTTTCGCTTAAGTCACGGTTAAAATGGTCTACGGTGCAAGCGAAAGAAAAAATACCGGCTAAATATCCTCGTGTGAAGCTTACACTGTGTCAGGGAAGGAAGGAGAGGGATTAGAAAAAAAAACAAAAACATTTTATACAGGCTGAATTGCCTGAAAAATTCAAGCAAAAAAAGAAGAAATAGAAGAAGAAAACCTTTTCCCCTTTTAGTTGACCATTAAAAGTAAAATACATTCCGTAGCAAGACAAACTGATCAATCTGAGAAAGCCACGTGTCCAACTCACCCAACCGGGAAAGTGAGGGCTTTCAGTGGACTGCCATGTGAAAAGAG